AGCGCCAACGAAACCGAGGGCAGACACCGATGCGGTAGGTGGCTCTCGGCGGCGAAATGATTACAGACCGCGAACCTACTCACTACCAGCTATAATGTCGAGTACAAACGCCTCCAAAAGTATTCGCGCGGCTCTTTCGGGCTGGACACGCGCGGCCGTTCGAGCCTGGAGGAACGAACGTTACCGAATCGAACGAAATTCCCGTCCATGGTCGACAGGAATTGAAAGAGAGAGCGAGGGGGAAAGAAAGAGAGACTAGGATGAAAAACGAGAAGAAAAGCACGTGTAATCGCTGGACCCTCTGCATAATCCGGAAACGACCGTTTAGATCGCCGCGCGACCACCAGTCTACGCCAGATCCCCTCTTCGATCTCTTTAAATACTACGAATACGCGACGAGTATTACGAATCGGAGATAGGAATCTGCGTTCCCCCTCGCGGGTGCAAACGCGAACTTTGCCCCGCGCAGATCTAATCTCGGGTGAAACGAACGGAGACACGATCGTTTCGAAAGGAGAAACTGGTCTCGCTCGGCCGATCGAGACAGCGCGGCAACGGATGAAAGATCGTAATTCGCCCTGCTCAGTAATTGATTTTGGAATTCCATCGGATTTTTTAGCGAAATCGTCGTTCGACGATTCAATCCGTTTCTCTCCGATGACGAGAGAGACACGGATCGTTCCGGTGCGCGTCGATGCGTGGCGTCGCGCAAGGGTTACGGGTTACCGGTTCCCCGATCTCTTTCGTCCCGCCATTTCGTATCCCGTGCTTTTTTTTCGGTTTCACCAGCGCGATAAGTGGCCATATGGGGACACCGAACGTAATAGGGCGGCAGCGGGTCGAGCGAAAAAGCTCAGCTTACAATCGCCTCGACGAGATCTAAAAGAGCCGCAGGGGAGCGAGAACTGGTACGAGAAGGTCCATTATCAGGTTGCAAAACATACATCTGGTCGGCGAGGGCACGTGCCCGGAGCCTTCGGACCAAGGGCACGCCCCTTTCGATCCCCTCGTCCGTCTCCGCGGTGCTTTCGATCCTCACCCCATCCTATTCCACCGGTTTCCGCTGCAACCCTCCCGAGCCGACATCCCCTGTCGTCTTCGAATGGATCTTCCGGTCCAGTCGCTCCGGCCATTCCCGCCGCCGAATTTCAAATTAATGCCGATATTCGCGGTTTCGTTCAATCCGATCCCCCTTCTCACCTTCATCCTTCACCCGTTCAATCCCTCGGTCGTTTCCGGACGAAATTACACGCACGTTTTCGTTCTGAGGAAGAATTGGATCGCAAACGACCATCCCGTATCCGTGACCGATTTACGCCACGACGAAATTAATCGCGTACTAACTAACGAACCGTAATCCAATTACGCTTGTACCTTAATTACACGGTTGAAGGGTTAGGCTTTTTACGGTGCTTCACGAATCGATCGACTAACGATATTACCGGCGTTGAAACTCGACCACTTTGTATAGGTTATTCGGCGATCGGCCGCCACCAGACGATAAAGCCCCGCCGCGCGAGTCGACGGCGACGAAACCACGGATTCCGTCGACCGCGATTTCACCGGCCGTTCGCTCGCCCGTTTCCCGTCTCGCTTGTCTTTCTCTCTCTCTTTCTCTCGGTCTCTTTCCACGAAATCTCGTCTCCTGTAAATCTCTATCGGGGAATACCGGTTGTCGCAGACGACCACGGACAATGGGCTGTTTTTTGGAACGTGAAACGAGTCCACCTTATGGTCCGTTATATACATGTATATATGTACGTGCCGGTTTTATCGCGAATCTCGATTCTTCACGGATCTAGCCTCTTTTGAGAGAAAGAGAGATAGACAGAGAGAGAGAGAAAGAGAGAGAGAAGAAAAAAAAAGAAAGGAGACTCGGACTTGAACGTTCGCTAATTTCATGATCGGCCGTGACAGTATCGGTTAAAGAAGGTTTCATATCTTTCCGATGCCAATTAGCGAGACTCGCGCCGCTGATAATTTTCGAGCGGCAATTAACGAAACCGCGGCGGATTGGTTGGGAAAAGTAGGGGGAGGGGGAGAGGCAAAGAGAAAGGAAATTCTCGTGCTCACCTCTGTCGACGATCCTACCAAAGAGGTTTTTCCCACGGAGGAAATTCTTGGTCGAGCAGTTCCATCGGCGATTGCGAAACTGATGCTGGCACTCGGCGATCGCCTGGTTCGCACCTCTGGCCACCGCCATCAGGACACCGGGATTTTCCCTGGCCAGCCTGCGCTGCTTTCTCCTCAAGGTCGCGTACACCGTCGGATCCATGTGAAGGGAGGCCGGCGACATTGGCAAAAAATTATTCGGCTCCCCTGCCTTGGCGATTCCCCTGGGAAGAAAAGCGAACGGATCGCCTCGTTTAGCATCTCTCTGCGTTCTTCGCCATTCGTGTTTGTCGAAGTTCGATAAAAAAGAGTCGAGCTCGGCCGTCCTCTCGAATCTTTCGATCGAATCCTCTTCAGGAGTGTACAATGGCGGACAAAAGAGAGTTTAAAACACGTATATAATGAGAGTCGAAAGTGAATATAACGCACGAAAATGTATGACAAGAAATTTATACATTTGCTAGAAATTTTCTACTCCATCAGCTGCATCTCAAACCGTAATAATATCTCCGTTATATTTGATGAAAGATTTGCTGCGTATCTGTGTATTTGTGCCTTGACGCACGTTCGAAATGCCATAAATATCGTCGCTATCATTACTGAAATATTCCAATTTTCTTATTTTGTTAATGTACAGGTACACACTTTTGACTCTTATTATATCCACTGGTAATAATTTGGTAGTAACTTTTTTTCATCGAAACTAATAACAACTATACTTTATCGTTTTTTAAGTAATTTTACTTTATAAAGTAGTAGATTCTGCAACAAGAAGGAGACAGTTCCATTAAAAACTTATGATCATTTGATCTGAGAGTTAGCTGCAAATAAAATTCTAACTTGAATACCAATTGATTAGAAGTTAATGTTTCATTTCTTTAATAAACCTATTAGTTTATTAAAATTATATGAAAATGGAGCTGTGTCTGCTTATTGCGACGATCCCTTCGATTATGGAGTATCTCGCGTCTTTTGCTGTTGAAACTTTCTTCTGTCGCTGTGTACAGTACGATAGACGAAGAGGGGGGGGGGG